ATAAAAAATCACGATTATTATCTTCAAAGTCTTTGATGAAAAATGCCTTACAAAATTCAAGATTTTTTTTATAGTTGGTCCTTAGAGAAAAGATTCTTTAAATTCCAATATTGTAGAACTGATAGTTTTTGGAAAAAAAAAATTCTTTGAGAAGAGGTATTTTAATCAGGTATAAATCACCGGCTGGTTTTTCGTAAAAGCACAAAGGAATAAATGTGTCTAGTTTAAAGATGAGGACATGGTACAATTTGGGCTCTGCTTTTTCTGTAATTTACCTCGTCAAATTGAAGGGCATAGCAAACAGGTTCCCACCTCTGATTTGTTTACATACAATATATTCATAAATAAATATTTTGACAATGATATGTTATCAAATGTATAACTTTTGAAAAAAAATTTAACATATAATTCCTATACCTTCTTAGTTCTAACATTGGTTTTTGAACAAAGGAGCGTAGGGCCGAAATCGAACTAGGTTAGCCTAAAACTATTTTGTTCCTCTTCGAAAAAAGCCAGCCGATGACTTAAGCTACTCAAAAAAAGCGTTTTATGTATTCTTAACTTAAATTGTGGCCCAGAATATACAATTATATCATGCAAAGTCTAAAACCCAAGATTATAGCTCTTGATTTTGGATTATATAGAATTCTATAAAACACTTGTATAATTACTTATAGTAATTAAAAAAAGATATTTTAAAAAGATTACAAATTCTTTACAATTTCCACAATTAAAGCTCTAACAGTTTTTGGATGAAGATCTCCTAAAAATCCGCAGCTACCGACAGTTCTAGAAAAAAAAATCATTGAAAATTCACAATTACAGCTCTAATAGTCCTTGGGAGAAGATTTCTCCGTATTTCTCCGTAAAAATCCGTAAATTTTTTCTATAAAAGTCCTTAAAAAAACTTATTTAAACCTCACCGATGGCCCATAAAAACATTCGTTTAAACATCCACCAAGAAATTGAAAAAAATCGTAGAAAAAGAAAAAAATGTTTTAAAAAATTAAAAAAAATAGACAATCGAAAAAAAAAAAACTTAAAAAATTATAAGATAGTCTTTGAAAAAATTACGTTTAATGGATAGTCCTGACAAAAATTAATTAAAATGTTCTTGAGCACAGTTCTCTCTCTCTCTCTCTCTCTCTCTCTCTCTCTCTCTCTCTTTGAAAAAAATCATTGAATTAAAATTATAGCCCCTTCAGGTGAGAATACGTAAAAGGGTTTTTTGATTGGCTTAATGAAAAAGAGAGCTTGGAGAACTAGCATAAATTATGGGACGAAACTGAACTAAGTCAACCTACAATTCCTTTGTTCTTTTCCCAGCCAATGAAAAAAAAACCTTTTATGTATTCGCACCTTTAAAATATATTGCAAAATATTACCATGATAGTCCTTAAAAGTGTTCCTAAAAATCCATAATTATTCTGAATATTATATACAATTCCACAAAAACAGATTCTTAAAAATTTTAAATAAATATAATTAAAAATGACTTCATATTTCCAGAATTGCATTACTGAAAATCAATAGAGGTGAGGGTACATAAAAGGTTTTTTTTGACAGACTTAAATCATCTTAAAATAACAAAGAAGTTTTAGGTTGATTTAGTTCAATTTCGGTCCATTATTTATATTTGTTAACCCTACGCTCAAAAAAGGTGTTTTATGTATTATCCCCTTTATAGAAATATTTAGCGAGGAGTTCATTCTTTCCATTATTATATCAAAAAATTAAATTCCACCCACTTCGGCTTAAAAATAAGGCTTAGACATTGAAAATTTCCTGAAGAAATAAAGGGTTTATATGCTTGAAAAAGTGCAAAAGTATAAATTTAAAAAAATACAAAAAATCGGAAGGTAAGTTTTAATGGAAAATATATAAGAAAAAATAATAAAAAAGGAAGCTAAAATACAACCCTGATGCTATATCTGTTTTTTTGTCGCAATCACGATTTAAAAATTTCTCCAAAAATAAATGAATTTTAAACGGTTTTCTTATACGAGGTTGGTATGATACGTGATTTTCAACAAATTTCAATTATTTAATAATTTTTCATTCAAAATTTAGAATTTCAAAAATATTTTGACAGCTCATTGTACCAACAGCTGTGGTGGTGCCACTACATATATAATTTTATCATGGTCACAATGATTTCAAATGATGTGTAGTAGGAGTTTCTCACCTATTTCTTATTTTTCTTCATTTTTTAAATGAACTAAAAATCGCGAAAAATCAAAGTTTTTTGATTTTTCTTTTAGAAATATAATTCATTTTATTCTTTTATCATTGCCATGGCAACACTGGTTAGATTCTTTAATTTGCTCTTTGTAATAAATGATACTTTTGATCATTGATTTTTAAAATATTTTGAAAGAAATCACTATGACAAAGGTCAAGCACTCTCAGAAAACCTTTAATCGGCTGGTAGCTTTGCAATACATTTTTATTATACCATGATAATAGCGAATTGTGGACCTATGTGCAATTTCAGCTATCTAAAGGTGCAAGTACATAAAAAGCTTGAAGTCATGGCTAGGTATATTAATGTCAAATTATAAGGGAAAACGGCGGCAGAATTTTAGTGCGGCTCTGTAATCCCTTTATTAAATGTCACAAAATATGCCTAGCCATGACTTCAAGCTTCTTATGTACTTGCACCTTAACCCACTAACATGGTAGAATAAGACAAGTAGACGCATCGACACAGCTGCTGGGACAATGAACTGTCAAACCAATTTTGGAATAGAAAATGTTGAATGAAAAATTTTTCAAATTTGTCATGAAAAATGCTTATTATAATAACCTCCGATTGACGTTGTATAAAAAACATATAAAAATCTACTTATATTTGAAAAAATATTTCAAAATTTTTCGCATATTACTGTTCCCAAGAGTTTATGCATCTACTGTATTCTTCCACCATGTCCACTAAGAACTCAAAACATAAAATTACAATGGATCCGGTTGGAAATTGTGGTTAAAATTCCAAAAACAACGTGAAATCAGGTGGTGCCTATGAGGTTCATTAAGATATTTTCATTTTGTAAATAAAATTTGTGTTAAGAAAATAGAATCCACAAAGTTTCCGAAGTTTATGATAAATACCTCTCAATTTTTTGCGATATTAGAACGCTTTTTGGCCTTTTTTGAGCCATTCATTCATAGGGTGCGGCATGGTAGAAGGATATAGGTAGACGCATCGACACAGCTGCTGGGACAATGAACTGTCAAACCAATTTTAGAATTGAAAATGTTGAATGAAAAATTATTTAAATTTGTAAAAATTGTTGAAAAACGCGAATTATAATAGCCTTCGAATGACGTAGTATATGAAAGTATATAAAAATTTACTTATATTTAAAAAACATTTAAATTTTTTTGGCATATTAATGCTCCCAAGCGTTGATGCATCTACCTGTATTCTTCTGCCATGGGGTGAGGTTCAAAAGACTTCAAGTCTTAAGTCCAAGAACATTTAAAACGAATTTAAAAGTCCTTTTATCTTTTTTTATGTCTTTTATTTATTGCAAATATTTGTTAAGTTCATTTCAATCTCCCACTCTTTCCGTACCCTCTTTCTTTCCTGCCCCCTCCCTATTGCAATAAAATTAAGATTTAATTTGAAAATTAGTTTCTCCATCACAGATTGCATTTGCAGTCATTTGGGAATTTCCTTGCTATTAACACAAATATCCTTTGATATTTGCGTGAGAGAGTGTGTGTGTGTGTTTTAAAAAAAACCCATATCCTTGTGACAATTCCCCAGCAAGCATTTAAGTGAGTAAATATCAAAATATCCACATGTGTGTGTGTGGGTGTGTTTGTAACTCATCTATTCCCATTGGAGTGGAGTGTCATGAAATAATTCCAACAAAATTACAGTAACAACAACTTAATGTGTTTTTTACAAAAAAAAAAAAAAAAAAAAACGTTTGACATTTTTGCGATTGTGTGCTGGAGGTCCTCCATTACAAATTCTAGTTGTTAAAAGCCAAGTACTCAACTTTCCACTTGATGACTTCTTAAGGACTCTCAGATTTATTTTGAAGCATGGCCAGGATTTGTTTGGCTTGATGGGTTGAGAGAGGGGGCGGGTAGGACATTTTATGAAAGGGGAGAAATTGTGGAGGGTGTTGGTACTGTATTGGTGGGGAGAATTTGTTTTTTTTTATCCCCAGGGATAATATATTGCAGGATTATGATTCCATCGAATGTCAGGACATGTGCAGGGATTTTCTGTAATATTTGTTTTAAAAAGGATGCGTGTGCGTTCTGTTAAGTCCTTTTAATGAAGACCTTGTATCTAATCTAATAAAATTGAAGGAACGTGGAAAAAAGTCAAACACACACGCACGCACACACACACATACACCCACAGAAAACGCCAAAATCAATAAAACAAATTTGCATAATGTATGTACCCTACATTGTTGTTATTTATATACCAGTAGTATATATCTAGTTTGATACATATGTATGTATGTGGGCATGTAGTATATAGGCATGTCCTTAGAGTATATATACAACAAGAAAACATGGTCACAACAACCAAAAAAAAAAAAAAAATACATAAAAGACACTCAAAAAATAGTGGCAGAAACATCAACATTAAGTAAAGGAATTTTTGAGGAGATTTAAGGGTTGGTTTTGGGGAATTTTGGTAGAGGACAAACAAAAAAGCTACATAAATTCCAAAACAGTTCTTGAGGAATTTTTTTATGTTTCCTTTTTTCAATAGGAATTCCTTGTCTTCAGAGGAATAAAAAGCCACTTTCTTTGGATTTTTTTTTTATTTTTCCTTTACTAATTTTGATTTTGAATAATAATTCCTTGTCTTCTGGAAAAGAAAAAACCATTTGGTACTTCCTCTTCTTTGGGGAGGAAATAAACTTGGTATCCTCTATTGGTTTCGTTTTAAAAACCCCTTTTTCTTCTCTCTCCCCTTTTTTCCTGTTTCATAATATTTAAAAAATTACATTTTCGCTTTCAAAACTTACCCAACACAAGGCTCGTATCACAACTTGGGGTTTCATGGCAAACGAGAGGGGGTCGAAGGCCCCACCGGCCTTGCCACCACCATAGGCTCCACCAGCATTCATATTTAATATTTGATTTAGCATATCCATTTTTGATTACAACAATAAAAACACCAAATACCAATGAAAATAAATTATTCTAAAATTTTTCACTCCTCCTTCAACTGCTTAAAAATTCTTGTTTTACTATTTTGTTTATTTTTTATTTTGTTTGGAAAATCTCAAACTTTTATTTAAAAATGCAAAATTTTCCTGTGATTTTTTTCCAATTTTTTTTGGCTTTTTCGTTTCTTGCTCTTCCTTTGGTCTCTACACTTTTATGTAATTTCGTATTTCTTATAGCAAAGCTCTAGTGTAAATAATTGCCTTCAAATCCTGTGTTTTACACACAACGAGAGAGAAAGAGAGCGAGAGAGAGCAGGGGACACTACAATAAATTGTCCTGTTATTTTGTTCACTTTTCTTCTTCTTCTTTTCTTTTTTGCTTTGAAAATTGTTACGTTTTTTGGATGTATTATTATTTCTTTTCTATTATCTCGGAACAAGAATAAGGGGGCAAACGGAGAGAGAGAGAGAGAGAGAGAGACAATGGCTTCCTTCCTTTCTTGGCTTTACTCTTTGCAAATACTACAGCAAGTGTCCAAGTTCTCGTCTTGGAAGATGATGACTTTGAGGAGAGTAGTTTTGTTCTGTGAGTGACTCTGGAAAGTCTCTCGTTATTTTTCTGCCACACAATAAGGGCCAGCAAAGGAGGGTGGCTTGATGGTTTTTGTAGCGCACAACCACACACACTCAAAAATCTCACAAGTAACCGTGCCTTGGTGGCGTATACTTTTTATTTTTTATAAATATTTTTTTCTATTTTTTTTTCAATTCACAATATTTTATCAATTTTCTCTTTAATTTTCTTCTATTTTTTTCTCTTTAAATATTCTTTGAAAATATTATTTTGCAAAATTACACAAAATGGAGAGATTTCTTTTTCGTTACAAAGCGCGCCTTTGTTTTCGTAACAAATACCAAATCGAACTGAATTTGTATTTTTCTGTTCCAAAATTTGTCTCACATTGACAGAAACCAATAGGGAAAAATGCAAAGCTTTTATGAAAGCCCAAATCATAGTAAACAAGAAAAGCTTTTTACAAAATAAAAAAGGAATGAAAAACCAACCCCTAACAAATGGAATATGGGAAACGGAAACAGCAAACAAAAAGCCAAAGCAGGACGGATATAAATCTTACCTTAGAGTGATGACATATGTGATACCCTACACTTTACAATATAAAAGAAGGCTATATGCTACAAAAAAACCCGTTTGGAAGGGTCTTGTATCAGCCTTAGACTTAAAACTATTAGACTCATGTATCAGATACTTATACAGGATTAAATAAAAAAAAACTGCAACAAAGACAAACGCCACAATTTTTAAATTTTTCTTTAATTTTATTGAATGAAAGCAAAAAATGTAGGAAATAATATCGAATTTTAGAATAAGTCTAGATTTCTTCGAATTGGTCACCTTTGGCACGAATTATAGCCTTCAAACGGCCAATGAAACCGTCACATGCTGCCCGAATGTTGCTCTACGGTATTTTGGCCCATTCCCGGCGAAGTGCTTGCTTGAGGCGATCGACACTTTGATATTTTTTAGTGGCAACCTTGCTTTCCAAAATACTCCAGACACAATAGTCCAACGGAGGAATATTCTCCTCTGAATCGATTTCTACAAAAATTTGCGGAGGCATTTGTGCCTTTTCAATTCGGCCTTGTATTAACCATTTGGTGCACAATTAAGTTGAAATCGTGTAGCTGTATTCAAATCTGAACCGATCTCAATAAAATTTGAAAAGGTATTTCTGAGCTGTATTTAATATATTTCTCCGAATATCATTATTACGGAGTTCATATTATGGATGTGGATGCCAAATATAAGACATAGGATGATGAACATATATGGACGCTATAGTTATATCTGAACCTATTTCGATCAAATTAGGCATATTTATTTTCAGGTTCAATTTGGTCGTAAGTGTCAAATTCAATCCATTCGGGTCAATATTACACGTTTGGTGCACAATAAAAGGCACATCGGACGAAGATATATATGGGAGCTATATCCAAATCTGAACCGAACACGATGAATTTTGGCGAAAGTATTTCTGAGCTATATCTGACATAGTTTCCGGATTATCGTTGTTACAGAGTACATATTACGGCTATGGCGGACAAAAATAATCTATTGGACGAACATTATATATGGGAGCTATAGCTATATCTGAATTTTTACCGATTATATCCAATTTTAATAGGGTTCGTCCTTGGGTCAAACAATTGACTTGTGCAAAATTTCATCTGGATGGGCCAATAAATGCGATCTGTACTTTCTTTACAAAAATATATGGACAGACAAACGGACGGACATGCATAAATCGACTCAGAATGTGATTCTATGCAGATCTTCAGAAGGAACGATGAATCTATCTCGTTTCCTTCTGTCTGTTACAAACAAATGCAGAAAGACAGGGTATTGGGCACCTTGTGGGGTGGGGTATAAATATCAATCAAAGTGATATAACATGTTGAAGACCTCTTATGTATAAAAGAATAATAAAAGGTCTTCTATGAACCTAAAAAGGGGTTTCCCCTATACCTAAAACAAGTTCATTCTACAGGCACACTTCAAATTTTCTACAAGAAATAAGATGATTTACTGTCTATGATTAAATAATATATCTCGTGGCTCTGGTAGAAAAATATTAAAATTCTTGCTTTTTTTCTTTAAAAAAATTTGCCAACTCATCAAAAAGTATTAAAAATATCTGGCAAATTAAGATAACAAGAGATAAGTTATCTAGTTTACTTGCTGTTGAACAGTCTCGCCAAAGGGCACAAGACAAGACAATTTAAGTCAAATGAGTTACCTATAAAAATTGGCTGTCTCGATGACACACAAACCATTAGTTTTCCATATAATAATATGTAAAATACATTATTTTTTAAAGATTATATGGCTTTAGTGTATATTTTTCTTGGGATCTTTATAAAAAAATTAACACAGTTATAGACAAAAATATACGAAAACTTTGTTGTCAAATATCAATAAAAAAAATAGTTTTAAATGCATTACTGGTATAGTATTTCTTTTTCTTAAACTTTCTTTCATTCTTCTCATTAAGTTCCGCAATATTTAATATTGTTAAGGCATACGATTGGATTTAGTTGTTGTTGAATTTGGCTGGGCGTTTTTCAACGAAGGCGGTCATACCTTCCTTGCGGTCCTCCTGGAAATTAGGAAAAACAGGAAAATTGTTTAGTAAAATTATGGAAAAATGGATAAATTAAAATTAATACAAAATGGATATAAAGAAATCTGGAAGAGACCACAAAACTCTTACAAAGAAAAGCCAGCTAAACTTCTGTAGTTTTCTAGAAGAATACAGAGTAAAATTCTCTGAAGACATTATAGTTTACTAAGAAAAATACGTAGAATAACTACAGGTTGCTTAAAAAGTCTTACATAGAAAGGCCTTTTAAGCTTCTGTATTCTTCTAGAGGAATGTAGAAGAACCTTCTGTGAAAATATTACGATCTCCTAACAAAAACATATATTTAGTGAAATGCCAACAGGTTTTCTACAAGACTATAAGATGCCTACAGGTCCTATTAAGACCCAAGAATTTCCCAAGGATTTGTTTTAAAGTGGGTTTGATGCATGTCCCAAAAATTCTAAGTTGGACACACACTTAAAAAGTCTTTAAAAGAAGAGGCACAAGTCCGTAAAACGATTTTTTTAAAAATGGCCCAAGGTTTGAAATTTGGAAACCTGAAGGTATTTTCTAAATATGGCCAAAAGGTACTTTGAAGCTTACACAAACGAAATCGGTTCCTTCTCTAAAAAAAAACCCTGATGGTTTACTATGAGAAGTCACATAAGTTTTCTTCAACAAGACCTTTATGTCTTCTAAAATAACACCTAGAAATCTTGAATCCATTAGTCTTTTTTAAGAAGACATATAAACCTATCACAATGAAAGGCTATTAATTGTGTAAAAGAACACTTTTTAGTCTTCCATAGAAAGACTTTTATATCTCCCTAAATAAGACCTACAAACCTTTAATAAGAAGACCTATAAGTCTTCTAAAAGATGACCCGTAAGACTTTTACTCTAAGTAACTACAAGTCTAGATCTATATTGTCCTTTAAAAGGATAACATTAAAAGGGATAAATTTCAACGAATGGAAATTAATTTTTACTTTAACGTCTTTTAAAAATAGAAGTTCTTCCAAATTACTTTTAAGCTTAGAAGTTCTTATTTGAGAACCCAAAAACTTTGTAAAAAGCCTGCACTTCTTTACTAGAAACCCTGTCTTCTAAGGTCTTTTACTCTTGACAAGAAGACTGAACAGTGTCTATGTAAATCTTTAAGATTTCTTCCCTCTATTAACAAACATATTTATCTTCTACTCTTACTTACAGTCGAGAAAGTGGCATGGAAAGTTCTCCTCTCGAATTTCAAACCCTCTTGCAAGGTGGTCTCATAGGCAGTGTTGACAGCCTCCTTGCACAATTGAACAATCAATTGCGAGTGGGTACCGATCTTCTCACCCAACTTGACAGCTTCGGCAACCAATTGATCGGCTGGCACAACCTTGCTAACCAAACCAGTCTTTTCGGCCTCGGCAGCGCTGATCATGTTGCCGGTCAAGCACATTTCCATGGCCTTGGATTTGCCAACGACACGGGTCAAACGTTGGGTGCCACCAGCACCGGGAATTGTGCCTAAAGCGATTTCAGGTTGACCAAACTTGGCCTTATCACCGGCATAGATGATGTCGCACATCATGGCCAATTCACAGCCACCACCCAAGGCGTAACCGTTGACGGCAGCGATAATGGGTTTTTGGCACTTGGCAACACGGGTCCAGTCATTCAAGAAGTTACCCATAATGCATTTGGAATAGGTGTTGGGTTGCATTTCCTTGATGTCAGCACCAGCGGCGAAGGCCTTTTCGCTGCCGGTAATAACAATGGCGGCAATGCTGTTATCGTTTTCGTATTGATCCAAGCTAGTGCTCAATTCTTTCATCAAACCATTGCACAAAGCATTCAAGGCCTTTGGGCGGTTCAGAGTGATGACGGCAACATTTTTCTTTTCACCAGCCAATTCGGTTTTGATGAATTCAAAGTTGGTGGCTAAGGGAGAAAAAACAAAGGGGAGATACGAATAATTGATTAAAATGTATTTTAATAATAAAGAACAATAGCAGTGTTCGTTAACACGGAATCCATTATCTGAGGCAGCCCGTGTCGGGAATAATAAAATACATTATAATTTGCATAGATAAAACAAATATAGATTGTCTGCTTATTTTAGAGCCAGGTGGGCCGCATAATAACTTGATATTTAATTTTCTATTTCCAGATGTGAAAAAATAAAACATGGCTTCATTGTCCAAAGTTTCTTCTAAAAATGCTAGCCCCAGATTTGGTCCAAACCTAAGACAATTATTAAAAATCAAAATTTTGTCTGCAAGCAGTTACGTAATTTTGCTATCAGTGATTTTCCATAATTGCCAAAACATAGTCCACAACTGAACAAAAACAAACAAATCTTTACGAAAACCACCGACACTTTCAAGAACTCATCTAAAACATGTCCACTATTGTTCCACTTTCATTGAATTACCTCCAGAGAAGGTCAAACAATTGTGAAAAACTATTAATTAACAACTAATTAAGCAAGCGGCAGGGGGAGGTAGAATAAAGTTCTCTATTGCAAATTGCCAACTTACCGGCAGCACTGTAGAAACGTGGAACAAATTGTTGTTGTTTGGCAGCAACCTGCAACATTTGTTGGGCACGACCGGCCACAGTTTTCATGATTTGTGCCATTTTTGAAGAGTTTGATTTGCTTAGCGAGCTCTGGAAAAATCAAAAGAATTTATTACTTAACAGGTTACAGAGGAAGGAGGGGGTACAAAATCGAGTCGAATAAGAACAATAAGTTACTTACGGAACGAACACTGGAGCAAGAATGATCAACTTGTATTTTCTTTGGAGCATATTAGGGGCTCTAAGATCGACTTTGTGGTTAATCGAAATAAATAATTCATTGAAAAATTCTTTGATATCGACGATCGTGCTGTTTTTTACAAGCCTGAAAGTATACAACAATTAATTGAGTTGAGAGCTAAAATGCGTCGATGAAGAAAAGCAAAATATTTTCGAAATTAACACAAAGACATTTTAGGTCTTTGATGAACACTGAAGTAGGGATCCTAAAGTCGACTTTCCATTGAATGACTATGACGGCGTTAAAGTTGTTCGCTTTAACTTAGTGTTTATTGAATGGCTATGACGGCGGTAAAGGCGCTCGTTTTAACTTAGTGTTTAGAAAATGCAAAAAATTAACAGAAAATCACACTAAGCTAATTTACACAGTAAATATTACCGATAACAACAATCACTCCACCAAGTGTTAGCGAAATATGTCGAACAAATTCAAGAGTGACAAAGTATTGACGAATAATAGAAAACATGTTGGTAATTGGAAAAAAATAAAAATGAAAAAATTGTTAATTTTTTTGTTTATAGTTAGTATGTCTAAACTATAGATTATTTTGTATAATACAAGCAATTGTTCTCAAAGTATGTCATCTATACGACCAAAAATTCTAACAAAACATTTTGCGATGCGACCATTTTCTCTAAAAAGACACTTGGTGATACGACTAAAAATTCTAACAGGACACTTTGCGATACGACCATACTTTTTGACAAGACACTTTGCGATACGACCATACTTTTTGACAAGACACTTTGCCATACGACCATACTTTTTGACAAGACACTTAGTGATACGACACTTGGTGATACGACCAAAAATTCTAACAGGACGACCATACCTTTAAACAGGACACTTTGCGATACGACCATACTTTTTGACAAGACACTTTGCGATACGACCATACCTTTAAACAGGACACTTTGCGATACGACCATACTTTTTAACAAGACACTTTGCGATACGACCATACTTTTTGACAAGACACTTTGCCATACGACCATACTTTTTAACAAGACACTTTGCGATACGACCATACTTTTTGACAAGACATTTTGTGATACGACCATACTTTTTAACAGGACACTTTGCGATACGACCATACTTTTTAACAAGACACTTTGCAATACGACCATACTTTTTAGCAGGACACTTTGCGATACGACCATACTTTTTAACAAGACACTTTGCAATACGACCATACTTTTTAACAAGACACTTTGCGATACGACCATGCTTTTTTAGAGACATTTTGCGGTAAATGTTAGGAATTTTAATAAGGCACTCTGCAATACGAAGCTACGCTTCAGGAATTCTAGCGAGATCACCAAGGGGCTAAACATGTGCTCTGTTTTAGAATCACCAGAATGTCAAAAAAAAATGTACTACGATAACCGATTTTCCTTTTATGCTATCGAAAAAAATCGAAACTTGTAGCAGGTTTTGCAACAGAGCGACAGTGACAAATAACCTCAGGGTTATACTGAAAGTCTCGCTGCGGTTGTTTTTTTTTTTTCTAAAATATATAATAGTTTATTCTGTTCATCCCATTTTTTGGATTGTTCCAGAACTGCAAGAATGTTAGATTTTTTTGAAGATTGGAGACAAGAGAATTTATTAAACGACTATAATTTTTTGAGCTAAAATAAAAGGGTAATTTAATGTTTCCGTTCGACAGGGTTAAATGTGTAATTAGGCGCCATCTAACGTCGTAGGCCAGAACATATATAAATAAAATCCACTTCTGAGGTTTATATCCATGCTATTTCTTCAATTTTATTGTATTATATCATTCAATTGGACGATAAATCGTATGACAGACTGAGACAATAAGGTGAGTTGTATGTTATCAATTACAGATGGCGTTGTTGGGTAAACTCGAATTAAAGAAAATGGAGAATTATTCAAAATAAAATTGCAATAATTTAGAGCGGAAGATTTATGACACAGGAAGTAAATCAGATTGAAATGATAACTCTGGACCAGATATTTTTGAGAACTTTCTTAATTACAGAAAATTTGAACTAGTCATGTCATCTGTCGGCTGGTGGAAAATGAATTCCTCACAGTCCTGACATTCTAAATAAAAATAAACAACGGTTACCATGGCTTTATTATTTTTCAAAATCTATTTGCTATTTGTGACAGAAGCAGGAACTTCATAAAAATTGATTTTAAATTGAAAATTATTTTGAAAAAACATGGAAAATTGTGATGAATACGATACTGGTGGAGGTGATGCTGGGACAACAAAGGGACAACTCTCAGAAGATAGCCTCAAAACTGGCTTTATACCATATGTGGGCAACAAACGGGATGTGACGATGAAACTTCCACACATTTTTGATATACGCAGTAAACTTCGAAAGGATAGGCTACAAAAGAAACTGAAGGATATGTGAGTAGAAGGACTGTTAAAGCCTCCCCCTTTTATTTCTTTTTTTACGATTTGTGTTCCAGGCCCCAGGGAAAGGAGAAAGGCGATATTGAGCTACAACTGGAGAAAAATGATAAATGTTTGCAGGACCTTTTGGATTTTGGCAATGAATTGGTGAACAACATCAAAGCGGCCAATGAGCAGCAGGAGCTGTTGCAGTGCCGCAGTAAAAAGCAGAGGGAAGAGGGTAATATTTTGTTGTTATTTCAACAAAGAAGATTTTTGATGGATGAGGGAGGGCCTTTTAAAGGCTCTTCTGGGCAATGAAATCTCTGTAAGGAATCTTCTATTGAGAGGAGGTCCTTCCGGGCTTTTTTATCCAAAATAGACCCCTTAAGGGCATTTCTGTGGAGAGAAGATCCCTTGAAAACTTTTTCATAAAAAGAAGACCTTTTGAAGCCTCTTCAATAGAATGAAGGTCCTTCTAAAGGTCTTCTACGAATCAAAGTCCTTTTCAAGTATCTTCTATAAATCGAAGAAACCTCTAAGAATTGAAGATCCTTCTATGAAAGATATTCTTCTTAAAAAAAGCTCAGAAGAGCCTTCAATGGATAGAGGACTCCTCTATAAAAAGAGAACTTTTTGAAGGGCTGTTGTTGAGAGGATGATTAGCTAAAGGATCTTCTATGCGAAGGAGGCGTTAAAGGCTTTTCTAAAATTAGAAGATTCTTTAAGGGCTATTCGAAAGGTTCATCTGTGGGATAAAGATCTTGTAAGGATCCTGATACGGAAATATGATCCAATGGAGCTCCTCACAGGCTCTTCTAATTAAGGAAGATCCTTCGAAGGCTATCCATTGGATAGAAGGCCCTTCAAAAATTCTGCATGTAACTTTTCGACGGTTTTATTTACCCTTCCCCTTATTCTCCCTTCAGACCTCCAGCTGACACTGCGCCACGAAGCCGAGGAAACTTTAAAGCTTTTCGATGAAATCAATGCCAAATGGTTGGAAATGAATGAAATGCGTGAACCCATGGCCATTTTCGAAGAGACGCAAAAACAACGCGAGAGCATAGCCCAAATGATGAGCAGTAAGGATGAACTGATCGACAAATGCCAAGAGGAATTGAGACGGATCAATGAAAAATACAATGCCGATCAGCAGAAACAATCACAGGATGTTTGTTTCCTAGTCGAGAGGATCGATGATCAAATTGAGCTGCTGAAAAAATCCTACAAAGAAAATCTCTACGAACTTCAGGAGGCCATCGATACGGAGAAGAAAAAATTGCATCAAGTCTCCCAAGAGAAATGGTCGCGAATGTATGAAGATCTAACGGTAAAGGAGCAGGAGAAAATGGAATTGGTGAAGGAAAAACAAGAACTTTATTCGGAAGAATTGGAAAAGATACGCACCAAACAGGAGGAGATAACGCGCGCAACGCGTATACGCCTGGAAAAAGATGCTGAAATGTTGGAGCTGGAAATTCGCAAGACCCGAGCAAATATTCTTATAAATTCTGAAAAGATCGACTACAACTATCAGGTGTTGCAGAAACGCAACGAAGAGAACATCATCATCAACAATCAACAAAAACGTAGGGTTGCCAAGTTCAATGAATCGATTGTTTTGCTCAAACGGAAGCTGGAAACACTGAAGCAGAATAATCATCAAGTTATGCAACGCTATACGGAGGAGATACAAAAGTTGCATGCCAGCATCAATGAGCTACAGCTGAAGGCGGAACATTTTCAAAAGAGCAATAGGAATAAGGTAAGTTTGAGGATAAAATAAAAAGAGGGGTTTATAAAGTCATGGTTTGGTTTCCAGTTCACCAAAGTCTGGAGCATGCATTTCAAGGAATTGAAGGATTTACTGACAAGTGTCTGGGATGTGGATAGGATATTATATGAACAGCAGTTGGCCAGGAAGTGGGAGAGACCTGCAGTAGATTTGGATAAACTGGACTATACCAAGCCAAAGAAGAATGGTAAGAGAGTAACTTGGCAAAGCACATTTAATCTGAAAGAGAGAGAGAGAAGAGGTTCTGGTTATACAGGAGCTTGTAAAAGACCTTTTGTACGTAGAAGAGTCTAAAATGACATGAAAATAGTCGCTTATAGCTTTTATAGTGAGAAGTGATAGGGATCCATAGATCGAAAATGATGCACATACAAAGTGTAATTAAATTTTACAGTTGATCTCAAAGGACAAATTTTAAAATAGATCTATATAGCATGAAAAATATAAACTGCGGACAGAGAGCAGCTGTTATCGCACAAATTATTATTTTGAATATTCAATTTATGAAATAGCTTCATTCTCACAAAGGCTGTTTAAGATACATTTGTGTATAGAGAAGCCTAAAATAAATCACAAAAAAAAAAAAGAAATAAATACCCCAAAACAAGTCGCAAGCTGATTTTCTAGTCTAGGGTAATAGGGATTCATAGATCGAAAGTGGACACACTCAAAAATACGGTTGATCTAATGCAATTGGACAATTTTTAAAATTATAAAATAGAATAATAATAATAATAATAATTATATTATTATTATTATTATTATTAATAATAATAATAACAATAATAATATCAAAATAATAATAATAATATAATAATAATAATAATAATAATAATAATAATAATAATAATAATAATAATAATAATAATAATAATAATAATAATAATAATAATAATAATAATAATAATAATAATAATAATAATAATATAATAATAATAATAATAATAATTATAATTATAATTATAATAATAATAATAATATAATAATAATAATAATAATTACTATAATAATAATAATAATAATCATAATAATAATAATAATAATAATAATAATAATAATAATAATATAATAATAATAATAATAATAATAATAATAATAATAATAATAATAATAATAATAATAATTATAATAATAATAATAATAATAATAATAATAATAATAATAATAATAATAATAATAATAATAATAATAATAATTGAGAATTTTTAATGAAAAATTATTGAGATTTGTAGAAATTGTTGAAAAATGCAGTTCATGATATATCAATGTTTCCAAGTCTGGGATGATAGGCTTTGAATGTAAACCTGTTTTTAGCTTCTTTTTGTTAAGGAAGGTCAATTAAATTTTTCTGTTTGGCATAAAAAATACATTCCAAGGGTCTTGAATGTATTTTGGACCTATGAGCCTTAAAATGTTCCGAGGACTTTTTGCGGGTCCCAAAAAGATAGATGATCCTTCAAAGGTTATTTTAAAACCTTCTCTGTTGTTAGCGAGGTTCTCAAAAGCTCTCATTTAGGTAAAGTTCATTCCATAGATAGAGGAGGCTTTGAAGGCGCTTCTTTATTAGGAATTAAGTTCTACTGCAGATTAATCAAAGAATCTTGTTTGGCGATAAATGCCCCTAAAGCTTTCTCCATAAAAAATAAAGGTGAGAATACATAAAACGCTTTTTTGACTGACTTCTTCGTAGATGAACAAAGAAGTTTTAGGTTGACTTAGTTCGATTTTGGCTCGACGCTTCTTTGTTCTTTTCCGAACAAAACAAGCCAATGACTTAAGCCAGTCGATAAAGCGTTTTATGTATTCTCACCTTAAGACCCTTCCATAGATCGATTTTTAAAATTTATTTTTCAATGGATTTTTTCAAACCCTTCATTTTACAATTGATCTTTTCATAGCCCTTCATTTTCTAATAATATTTCCTTTTACAGCTTCAAAGCCCAAAACAGCTCCCGCCTCATATGGACGCAATCGACATCGCCTGACATCCGGCACCTCAAAATCCCAGAACAAAAAAGTCAATCAAAGACAATTAAATGATATTTTGCAAAAAATTTCCGATCGTGCTGGATTTTTGATTGAAGAACGGCTCTTTGAAATATTAAAACCCTATACAGATGAAGAGAAATGTTTGGTGCGAATTGAGAATATATTTTCGGTAAGCCCTGAATCTATGAGAGAGATGTGAGATCTCAATCAATAAAAACTAATATTTCAGGCCTTACACATAACCGATATTGAGGTGGTCAATAGTTTAATTACCTATTTTGAGCCCTACTCCTGGTGTCCAAATTGTTCGGAGGGTGTGAATCAGAAATCCCTGAAATCGTTGTATTCTTTTAAGGACAAGGGGGAGGAGGAGGAAGTGAAAGAAACTGAAACAGAAGAGAGCTCAGAGGTAAAATAATATCCAATTATTGGTATTTTCAAAACTTTACCTCTAAATATATTTTAGGTCTCCTCCAAAGCCCCCTGTTCAAATCACATTCTGGTCATGGAACCGGCCTTGGTTTTGACAGCTCTCAACGAATTTACCCGCCACGAACAGATCAGAGGCAAGTCCGCCAATGTCAAGGATCACAAGAAGTTTGTAGCTAATAATGAATATTGGAATGTTTCAAATAAATTTTGAATTCCTTTTCAGAGATCTGTGCCTTGAAACCGAAATGGATCTCCTGGCCTTGGATGAGAACCACATACGCAGCTATTGGCAACAATTTGCCAATTTTATGCCTCAGGATAAACAAAATCTCTGGAAGACCATAGAACACGGTTTGAATCACTATTTGGAGGTATTGAAGAAACGTTCCCAGCTGGATGGCGAGTGTGTTTTTCTGCAGAAACAAAATTCGGAATTGAAATATTTATTGCAGAAATTGTAGAGAATAAAGGAGAAATGTGAGAAGGAGAATTAAAAAATTGTAAAGATTTCAAAATCAAGTTTGAACGACTCCTTTAATGAAAAAATATTCTTCACGGATTCTCCAGAACTTATTTTTAAGGAAGAAGATCTTCTAACGGAAGAGCAGAAGGTCTTTTCTCATAGAAGAGCAGAAGGTCTCTAGAAGAAGAGCTGAAGGTCTTCTCATCGAAGAAGGGCGGAAGGTCTTCTCATAGAAGAAGAGCGGAAGGTCTTCTCCTAGAAGAAGAGCGAAGGTCTTCTCATAGAAGAAGAGCTGAAGTTCTTCTCATAGAAGAAGATCTGAAGGTCTTCCCATAGAATAAGAGCTGAAGGTCTTCTTATAGAAGAGCAGAAGGTCTCTTCTCAGAGAAGAGCAGAATGTCTCTTCTCAGAGAAGAGCAGAAGGTCTCTTCTCAGAGAAGAGCAGAAGGTCTCTTCTCAGAGAAGAGCAGAAGATCTCTTCTCAGAGAAGAGCAGAAGGTCTCTTCTCAGAGAAGAGCAGAAGGTCTCTTCTAATCGAAGAGCAGAAAAGAAGGAAGAAAAGCGGAAGGTCTTCTCATAGAAGAGCAGAAGGTCTTCTCATAGAAGAGCAGAGGGTCTCTTCTCATAGAAGGGCAGAGGGTCTCTTCTCATAGAAGGGCAGAGGGTCTCTTCTCATAGAAGAGCAGAGGGTCTCTTCTCATAGAAGGGCAGAGGGTCTCTTATCATAGAAGGGCAGAGGGTCTCTTCTCATAGAAGGGCAGAGGGTCTCTTCTCATAGAAGGGCAGAGGGTCTCTTCTCATAGAAGGGCAGAGGGTCTCTTCTCATAGAAGAGCAGAGGGTCTCTTCTCATAGAAGAGCAGAAGGTCTCTTCTCATAGAAGAGCAGAGGGTCTCTTCTCATAGAAGAGCAGAGGGTCTCTTCTCATAGAAGAGCAGAGGGTCTCTTCTCATAGAAGAGCAGAGGGTCTCTTCTCATAGAAGGGCAGAGAAGGTCTTCTCATAGACCAGATATCTTCCTAAAGTAGGCCAAAATGTCTTCTTTTAGAAAACCTAAGGCATTTTTATAGAATACCAGAAGGTCTGCTCGAAGAAGCCCAGGTCATTGTAGCTCTAAAAAAGACTAGAATATATTCTCGGCGAAGCCCACAAACTTCCAATTTGGAGAATATTCCAAGGTTCTTTTCTTAGAAAATCGGAAAGGGCTAATAAAAAAAATTCTATTAAAAGAACAAATCATATTCCAAACTCACCCAACCTGATCCAATTTCTCTCTGTCCTGATAATTTCCAAGAAGGTATTCTTATCATTTTTTTTAAACAATGTATTCGCTGATTTCTTCCCCATAAAAATACTTCTGCCATGTGGCAGGTGTACTGAATTAGGAACACCCTTTTGTCCCCCATATAATAAATGCCATTGGTATTCTATATAATCTTGCATAATAATTTTATATTTACCTTGAAAATACCTTTCTAATATTTCTGATTACTTTCGGCCTATGCGGAAGAGATAACGCTGACGGAGAAAGCATTCACCACCACTCGCCAAATAAATGATTCAGTTAATTGCAAAATGGAAATTTTTAGCTTCCACTGGGTGGCATTGTAAAGCGTCACCACCCCCCAAAGGGTATTCAGGAACCCCTCCCCCTCTGCCCACCTCAAATTGGCCGATAAGAAGTGCAAAAAAATTGCGTATTATCAGAGACACTATTAACTTCCCTTGGCACCCCTTTTCTTCAGGGGAATACCTTGGCCAGAGATTAGGGAATTTCGTTGGCATTTGGGCTGTACTGTGTCTGGAGGGCATTTGAAGTGGCCCACTACTAGTTGGGGGTCTTACAATTATGACCGGTATACCAATTACGACGTAGTTATCATTTGGAAATGATTAGACTTGAACGTGGCCATAAATAGCTATGGCCGCATGCCATGGCTAAATTCCAATAAAATGACTTCATGGAGAGATTCCAGATAAGACTCTAATTTATATGGCTTATCATGATTATGTTTTTTTCAAAACGCTCTTTAATTGGTAGGGCAATATTTTGGTTATTATCAGAGATCTAATCGGGTTGTAAATTAACAGAAACCTTTCCTCCAATTTTTTTTCTTTTTCAATCGTTGGATGAATGAATGAGTGATTGAATGACTAAAAAACTGACGTGCACTGTAACGTCAACATTAATTTGTAGTTTTAATTAACACCTATTTGTGATCCATGACTTAGATCGGTAGCATGGATTTTCATTATTAGCGTAATTATGCTCAACATGGGTAGCATTGACACTAGACTACAAAAAATAAAACAAAAAATGGGGAAAATTATGGCAGAAGTTCATTTTAGAAGAGGAAAGTGAGTCTAACTTAAGAGGATCAGTAAGGCCAGAAGTTCTTTTCTCAGAAGACGAGAAGTTCTTTTAATGGAGGTCGAGAAGGTCTTCTCATAGAAGACCAGAAGGTCTTCTCATAGAAGACCAGAAGGTCTTCTCGTAGAAGACCAGAAGGTCTTCTCGTAGAAGACCAGATGGTCTTCTCGTAGAAGACCGGAAGGTCTCTTCTCATAGAAGACCAGATGGTCTTCTCGTAGAAGACCAGAAGGTCTCTTCTCATAGAAGACCAGAGGATCTCTTCTCATAGAAGACCAGAGGATCTTCTCATAGAAGACCAGAGGGTCTTCTCGTAGAAGACCAGAGGGTCTTCTCATAGAAGACCAGAGGGTCTTCTCATAGAAGGCCAGAAGGTCTTCTCATAGAAGGTCTTCTCATGGAAGGGCAGAAAATCTTCTCACAGAAGGCCAGCAAATTTTCTCATAAAAGTCAAGAAGGTCTTCTCAAAGTAGACCAGAAGCTCTTCCCATAGAAGGCCAAAAGGTCTTCTCATAGAAGGTCAAAAGGTCTTCTCATAGAAGGCCAAAAGGTCTTCTCATAGAAGGCCCAAAGGTCTTCTCATAGAAGGCCAGAAGGTCTTCTCATAGAAGGCCAGAAGGTCTTCTCATAGATGGCCAGAAGGTCTTCTCATAGAAGACCAGAAGGTCATCTCATAGAAGACCAGAAGGTCTTCTCATAGAAGACCAGAAGGTCTTCTCACAGAAGACCAGAAGGTCTTCTCATAGAAGACCAGAAGGTCTTCTCATAGAAGACCAGAAGGTCTTCTCATAGAAGACCAGAAGGTCTTCTCATAGAAGACCAGAAGGTCTTCTCATAGAAGACCAGAAGGTCTTCTCATAGAAGACCAGAAGGTCTTCTCATAGAAGACCAGAAGGTCTTCTCATAGAAGACCAGAAGGTCTTCTCATAGAAGACCAGAAGGTCTTCTCATAGAAGACCAGAAGGTCTTCTCATAGAAGACCAGAAGGTCTTCTCATAGAAGACCAGAAGGCCTTCTCATAGAAGACCAGAAGGCCTTCTCATAGAAGACCAGAAGGTCTTCTCATAGAAGACCAGAAGGTCTTCTCATAGAAGACCAGAAGGTCTTCTCATAGAAGACCAGAAGGTCTTCTCATAGAAGACCAGAAGGTCTTCTCATAGAAGACCAGAAGGTCTTCTCATAGAAGACCAGAAGGTCTTCTCATAGAAGACCAGAAGGTCTTCTCATAGAAGACCAGAAGGTCTTCTCATAGAAGACCAGAAGGTCTTCTCATAGAAGACCAGAAGGTCTTCTCATAGAAGACCAGAAGGTCTTCTCATAGAAGACCAGAAGGTCTTCTCATAGAAGACCAGAAGGCCTTCTCATAGAAGACCAGAAGGCCTTCTCATAGAAGACCAGAAGGCCTTCTCATAGAAGACCAGAAGGCCTTCTCATAAAAGACCAGAAAGTCTTCTCATAGAAGACCAGAAGGTCTTCTCATAGAAGACCAGAAGGTCTTCTCATAGAAGACCAGAAGGTCTTCTCATAGAAGACCAGAAGGTCTTCTCATAGAAGACCAGAAGGTCTTCTCATAGAAGACCAGAAGGTCTTCTCATAGAAGACCAGAAAGTCTTCTCATAGAAGGCCAGAAGGTATTCTCACAGAAGGTCAGCAGGTCTTATCATAGAAGGCCTGCAGGTCTTCTCATAGAAGGGCAGAAATTCTTCTCACAGAAGGCCAGCAGGTCTGCATAGAAGGCCTGCAAGTCTTCTCATTGAAGGCCAGACAATCTTCTCACAGAAGGCCAGCAGGTCTTCTCCTCGAAATACTCATGTCAGACCCAACAAAGTATATACATTCTTGATCAGCGTAAAATTCTAAGTCGATTTATGCATGTCCGTCCGTCCGTCTGTCTGTCTGTCCGTCTATCCATGTGTTTTGTAAACAAAGTACAGTTCGCATTTATTGCCCTATCCAGATGAAATTTTGCACGAATCATTTGTTTGGCCCAAGGACGAACCCTATTGAAATTGGAGATAATCGGTCAAAATTTAGATATAGCTCCCATATATATCTTCGTCCGATTTGCCTTTTATTGTGCACCAAACGTGTAATATCATCCCGAATAGTATGGAATTTTGCACATACAACTAAATTAGGCCTGAAAATAAGTATGCTAAATTTGATCGAAATCGGTTCAGATATAGCTATAGCTCCCATATATATTGTTCATCCGATTTGTTATTTTTGTCCTCCGCAGCCGTAATATGCACTATGAAACAACAATATTTGGGGAATTATATCCAATACAGCTCTGAAATACCTTTGCTAAATTTTATCGAGATCGGTTCCGATTTGGATATAGCTCCCATATATAAATTCGTCCGATTTACATTTTATTGTCCACCAAACGTCTAATATTTGTCCAAATGGGATGGAATTTGGCACTTATGACTGAATCGAGTCTAGAAGCTAGTACGGCAAATTTGGTGAAGATCGGTCAGATATAGCTATAGCTCCCATATATATTGTTTATCCGATTTGTTATATTTGTTACCCACAGCCGTAATATGCACTCCGTAACAACGATATTCAGGGAAATATATCAAATATAGCTCAGAAATATCTTTGCCAAATTTTATCGAGATCGGTTCAGATTTGGATATAGCTCCCATATATAACTTCGTCCGATTTACCTTTTATTGTGCA